GCTGGAGCTCGAGGACCTCGAGCACGTCCTGGGCACCTACCGCGAGGGGTGTGGCCTTGGGTGGGATAGGCTCCACCCGAAGCAGCTGCTGCGCCTCCCGCGGACCTACAGGCAGCGCTTCCTGGAGCTCCTCATGGCCTGGGAGCGGAAGCCTTCGCGGGAGGCGCTGTGGCAGCTGATCGTGGTGTTCACCCCCAAGGCTACTGGCGGCCAGCGGCCAATCGGCCTCACGGCCATCTGGCTGAGGGTCTGGAGCAGGTTGCGGCAGCCGCTGGTGGCCCGCTGGGAGGCCTCGCTGAAGAACCCTGCCTTCTGGGGCACGTCGGAGAGCCCGTGCGAGCGCGCGGGGGCGGTGCACAACCTCCTGGCGGCCTTCGCGCGCAGCAGAGGCCTCTCGGCGGCCACGGGCGTCGCCGACCTGGCGAAGTTCTACGAGCACGTCAGCCATGAGGAGCTGCGCGTGCAGGCGGCCGCCACGGAGTTCCCGCTCGCGCTGCTGCAGTGCTACTGCGTGTCGTACCGCACGCAGCGCCGCGTGTCCTGGTGCGGCTCGGTCTCCAAGCCGTTCGAGGCGAACGGCACCATCGTGGCGGGCTGCAGCGGCGCGGTCGGGCTGGCCAAGCTGCTGGTGCACACCCTTTTCGTGAAGATCGTGCGGGGGAACCCTGTGGTGCGCCTGCAGAATGTCGTTGACGACGTGCTGCTGCAGGCGGTCGGCGGCAGGGCGCAGGTGGTGCAGCAGCTCCCCGGGGCCACGGCGGCCCTCACGGAGGGCCCGGTCGCCAAGGGGCTGGTCATCTCGCAGGCGAAGACGGGCTACCTGGCGAACAGCGAGGACCTCGGCGACGAGCTGGACGGCTGCTGGGCGCATGGGCCGCTGGCCCGCTGGACTGGCGCCCGATGCCTTGGCGGCGACGCCGCTGATGGACGCTGGAGGCGCGTGCGTGAGCAGGACGCCCGGCTTGGCCGCGCGACGGAGGTCAGCGCGAGGGCGCGCCCGCTGCGCAGTGCAGGTGCGCAGGTGGGCCACATCCAGAGAGGCATCCCCACGGCCACCGACATCTGGGGTTCCGCGGTGACGGGCCTCGCCCGTGGGAAGCTGCGCGGCCTGCGGATCGCCGCCATGCGTGCGGAAGGCAGGCTGCCCATGGGCGCAAGCGTTGGCCTGCGGCTGCGGGCGATGCGCGGCGCGGCCTACCGCGACCCCTTCGTGGTGCACGCGGTGGAGGTGGCGCGCTCCTGGGGCATGGCGCTGGAGACGGGCCTGCCCAGCGCCGCGGTGGTGCAGGAGTGCTGGCTGGGGGGCGCAAGGCTTGCTCGACCTTCGCCGCCCCTGGGGGCAGTGCCGCGACCCTGCGCAGGCATGCGTGCTGGCGCTGAGGCGGGTCGGCATCGAGATGGTGGCCTACAATGCCGTCATAGACTGGCAGGCGCGTGTCCTCTCGCTGGAGTTCTACTCTCCTGGCATAATGGTGCAGGTGGCGCGCGAGTCGGCGATGCTGGCCTCGGACGTGCTTGCGCTGAAGCGGATGCGCGGGCCTGGAGCCTGGGCGTGGCCTGTGCGCTGGAAGGGGCTGGAGCGCCTCCTCCACGCGCGCCGCCGCCCCGAGGGGCAGGCCGCCGCTGAGGCCGCTGAGGGCGCAGGCTGCCAGGAGCCCGCGCCGCCGCTGCCGCACCGGCAGGCCCGCCACAGGCGAGCGCTCGCAGCGGTCCTCGGCGGCCCCCACTGGCCGCAGGAGCGCCTCTGGAAGGAGGGCAAGGCACGCGATGGCCTATGCCGCCTCTGCGGAGGCCGTGGCACGCTGTGGCACAGGACCTTCGAGCGCGAGGCCTGGCTGATGCTGCGGCGGGATGCGCGCTCGCAGGAGCTGCTGGAGGGGGCGCGGCTGGTGGCGCAGCGTGGGGACGCTGCGGCGGAGCTCTTCGCGCCTTCCCTGCGACGGCCGATGCCGCGCTCGCGGCCCCGCGCTGGTTTGGCGTGCCGCCTGGTTCGAAGTTCGCGGGCAGGGTCTACGTGGACGGCAGCGCCAGGTTTCCTGCGCTGCGCGGGGCCCGCCGCGCAGGCTGGGCGGTGGTGCAGATGGGCCTCAGCGGGGAGGTCATCGGTGGGATGCACGGCATCGTCCCGCGGGCGCACGGGCCCAAGCAGGAGGCCAGGGACGGCGAGGACTACGCGTTCCACATGCTGGCCCAGTTCTGGTTGCCGTCGGCCGACGGCTCGGGCCTCGAGGTTTTCTGCGACTGCGCGGGCACGGTTGGTTTGGCGCTCTCGCAGGGCAAGGCCCTCGCGCCACTGCAGGCGCGCCGCCACCTCTGGCAGGAGTGGTGGGCTGAGCCAGGCCCGACGGCCACGGTGCGGAAGGTCAAGGCGCACAAGGAGCTCTCTGCAGCTACCACCTGGGAGGACGAGCTCCAGATCAGGGGCAACAGGGCAGCCGACCTTTGGGCCAAGCGAGGCGCGGCTCTGTGGCCGATCGACGAGGAGCTGGTCCGGTTCCTCCAGGCGTGTGCCTGGCGCGTGGAAGAGCTCGGGCGCTGGGTTGGCGAGCTGGCCGCCACCATGGTGGACCGCGAGCAGCTGGACTCGGACGGGGTCGTGGGCACGGCCGACCTCGTCTACGACATCCCGCAGGAGGCGCTGGACGCGGCGGAGCAGGCCGACGCGGAGGTGGCGGCGCTGGCGCTCGAGGCCGACCTCGAGCTCGGCCAGGCGCCTGGCGCTGCTGCTGGGGCTGCTGCGAGAGAGGAGCACGGCCAGGCGCCCGCCGCTGCCGCTGGGGCCGCGGCCGCCGAGCTGGCGGAGGCGGCGGTGGCCGCTCCCGAGCTGAAGGCCGCGATTGCAGGAGCTGGAGTGGCGCGGGAGGTGCGCGGGCACTGCATCGTCGTCTCGCGCCTCGAGAACGGGGGCGGGGCCGTGGCCTGGTGCATGAAGTGCGGGTGCCGATTCTGGAAGCGGTCCCCACCTGCTGGGACAGGCCTGCTGGGCAGCTGCAAGGGACGGCCAGGCCCTGGCGAGAGGGCGGCGGAGGCGCGGCGGCTCCTGATGCGCCTCCAGGAGCCCAAGAGCAAGGCCAGGCTCTTGGCTCCGCAGCCGCCCACGCAGGAGGAGCAGGCGCGGCTCGCGGCGGTGCTCCGCGACGGCGCAGGCGGCGAGGATGGTGCAGGCGCTCCCGCTGGTGCAGGGCGGCCGCCGCGCTGGGGGCTGCGGCCCGTCGTGGCGGACGCCTGGCAGGCGGCGGAGCTCCATGGCTTCGCCTCGCCCGCCGCCGCGGCTCGCTGGGCGCGGGCCCGCGTGGCGGCGGGCAGGGAGTCGCCCTTCGGCGACTGGGGCGCGGACTGACAGCCGCGCAGACGGCACCTGGTTTAGCCCGCCGGCAGGGCGCCAGGGGGCCGAACAAAAAAATTGCCCAAAATGGCCCCTTGCGCCGATTCGCACCGCGTGACGCAGTCACGCCGCCGAGGTGGGGCTCGCCGCGGGCGGCAGGCCTGGGGAGGCCGCCCCCGCCTCTGCGAGGGCGGCCGCCTCCGGCACACCCGGTGCCCCGCGTGGCTCCGCACGGGTGTCCTCCCAAAGCGCGGGAGGAGGAGGAGGAGGAGGAGGAGGAGGAGGAGGAGGAG